TTATCAGAAAACTTTCTTGAAAAGAACATGTTTAAATATCTAGTCCCGAATAAACAGGAGGTAGTACTAGGTCGCCCGCCTTTACAAAAACAAATTGTCCCTGTGATGTCCTGAATGTTTCGCGTAGAAACTATCAAATTGAGAGCTTCTCCCTTTTATTGTATTGCGAGTTGTGAAACAGTTACTTGAAACGCACCGTGTCTGATAACAATGCATCTATCGCCTCCCGTCTAGAAATATATATATGTTCTTTGACGGAGTGCATGAAGCAGTTCAAAGGAATACGAGTTGAGCTCTCTCTGTGGATCAGCCACTGTATATTCAGGCTATGTATAACCAACGGAGGTCATCAGGTTGAATTTGCAACACATCGTTGGCGAGGCAAGCTGCGTGAGAGGGATTGTGTTTGTGACAAAGATCAAGGCTGTCTGCACGTTTAACCACGCGTCACTGAACTTGATCGGTAGAGTGGAAAATATAATGATGTACATATTGTCTGTTGCACAGAATTAATACGTAGGAAAAACTCCTTTTAATCTAATGATATGGCAACACGAAGACACTTAAAACCGACTCAGTTCACAGACCATACCGACATATGGTCTCTGACACACCTAAGGTGATATGTGCTCAGCGGGATTAGTCTATCTCTCTCTTCGCCTCTCTCTCACTCTCTTTATCTTTCTCTCCGTCTCTCTCTCTTTATCTTTCTCTCCCCATCTCTCTATTTATCTTTCTCCCTGTCTCTCTCTCTCTTTATCTTTCTCTCCGTCTCTCTCTTTATCTTTCTCTTCGTCTCTCGCTTTATCTTTCTCTCCGTTTCTCTCTCTTTATCTTTCTCTCCGTCTCTCTCGCTTCATCTTTCTCCCCGTCTCTCTCTGTATCTTTCTCTCCGTCTCTCTCGCTGTATCTTTCTCTCCGTCTCTCTCGCTGTATCTTTCTCTCCGTCTCTCTCTCGCTTTATCTTTCTCTCCGTCTCTCTCGCTGTATCTTTTTCTCTCCGTCTCTCTCTCTTTATCTTTTTCTCCGTCTCTCTCACTTTATCTTTCTCTCCGTCTCTCTCTCTCTTTATCTTTCTCTCCGTCTCTCTCTCTTTATCTTTCTCTCCGTCTCTCTCTCTCTCTTTATCTTTTCTCCGCCTCTCTGTATCTTTCTCTCCGTCTCTCTCTGTATCTTTCTCTCGGTCTCTCTCTGTATCTTTCTCTCCGTCTCTCTCGTTATCTTTCTCTCCGTCTCTCTCGTTATCTTTCTCTCCGTCTCTCTCTTTATCTTTCTCTCCGTCTCTCTCTCTTTATCTTTCTCTCCGTCTCTCTCTTTATCTTTCTCTCTGTCTCTCTCTTTATCTTTCTCTCCGTCTCTCTCTCTTTATCTTTCTCTCCGTCTCTCTCTTTTATCTTTCTCTCCGTCTCTCTCTCTTTATCTTTTCTCCGTCTCTCTCTGTATCGTTCTCTCCGTCTCTCTCTCTTTATCTTTCTCTCCGTCTCTCTCTCTCACTCCGCTTTCTCTCTTTATCTCACTCTCTCTCACTAGCCGTCTCTCTCTTTATCTCTCCCTCACTAACTCTTTCACAAGCTCACTCTCTCCGTCTGTCTCCGTCCCTCTCTCCCCCTGCCCTCTCTCTTTATCTCCTTGTCTCCGTCTCTGACACATATTTAACGTATACATAGGGCGTTTCACAAATTCATTTTTCTTCGATTATATATATAAATTCATCGATGACTACGAACTTGAACCATATCAAAGAACAATGTGTGAGATTAGATATCCACAGCCCAGATGTTGCCATCAAACGATCCAAATGGAGAAAAAAGTCACGCTCCAAAATCAAGGCTTAGGTTATCACGCGATCAATATCCAAAGTTAAAATAACATTGACACAAATCACTCTATTCACAGATGAAACTGTTTCCTATTATCATGGCCACAACATGGCCCCAAATGCCCTGAGAAACATAGTTTGTAGGCACCTGCAAACTTGGCTTAACAATTTATACCCTCATCCAATGCTATAATCAAAACATATGGTTTGATACTCTACATCCAAATAGATATTAAATCCTATCATCATTGCTGTAAGAAGGTGTACATTGTATTTACATATGCAGTATTATGAATATGCATCCCAATATAATATTATTTATAAACACTCTGAAAGAAATATTCTTTGTTGCAAATCATATATATATATATAAATAAAATAAAAATATTTGATCACAAATGTGGCCTTCTCTTTCCATGACCTCTAACATGTATCCATGTATGCCTGATATCATCTTTCACTGATATTGATTTATATATGCTTGTTGATATAATATTGATATAATACCTGTACATCATTTATCTGTATGTATCACAGTTTTGTATATATGGGGAATCAATAAAATAAAAGAATACAAAATAACAACATAATTTGTAGGCCGTAAAAGGAAAGATAGCAGTGGAAATGACAAAAACGGATCACTGGAAATAGGGCATGACGCAAGGTGGTTGCGAAAATGCCGTTGCATTGATAATGTCGGTAAAGGCAAAAGCTTTAGTTATTAATAACTTAGATGATATTCAGAAAGTTGGTTTTATGCTCTCATCACCTAATGTTATAGCCCAGAGTGCCAAAACGCGTAATAATATTCTTCGTAAGCGTCATAAGATTTTATTTCATTGATTTCTTTTAAAACTTTTAGGTAATTTTTTATGAAAGGATATTTTATAGAGTCACTGCAGTACTTAACATTTGAATGTTTTTATAGGTGTTATAATTTTAAAGTCTCTCGTAACTCAGTACAGGGTGGCTCGTTACTTTTACGCTTATATTGTCTTGGGTTATGTATAGTTTTTATCATGTATATATTATGTATGTATGTTTTTATCAAAATGACTGTAACGAGGTGAGACTATAATATACAATCTGTCCGTCTGTAACAACACCAACACAATGTGTCCAAACAGCAGAGAACAATTATCGTCGATATTCAGGACCAAGTTTGGATGGAGTTAACAATGGGATGATTTGCCTTTGCGTGTGTTTGTGATGGATGTTGCCGAGGCAGGATACGCTAACCTTGACGACACCTGGTGGCAGTGCTATTTGACAGCGATTCAGAAACGTGTAATGCATGTATTTACATGTATGATGTCGGTATCCAACAACAGACTAGGCCCAACAGAAATTATGGGATTGCTTTCGTCCCAAGGTGCAGTCAGATATAGTTTGACAGATAGTTTTTGGTATGCACTTGACTGACTGACTGAGTATGGTTTTACGCCGCTTTTAGCATTATTCCAGCAATATCACGGCGGGGGACACCAGAAATGGGCTTAACACATTGTGCCCATGTGGGGAATCGAACCCGGGTCTTCGGCGTGACGAGCCAACGCTTTAACCACTAGGCTACCCCACCACCCCTGCACTTGACTGAAGTAAAACAACTGAGAGGCAATCACATTTCACTAAGTTGGCCCTCTAATGTTATTTTTGCTGACATATGTACATGGAGGAAAGTATCTCATCACGAGCCTGACCACCTGATCCCGTCAGTCGCCTCGCACGACAAGCATGAGTGACTGAACATCAATTATAAGCCGGATCTTCACGAGTCTTAAACGCTGTGTTATTGAGTTACATTCTTGGGTAGAGTTGCTTCAGAAGTATGTGCGCGAATCGATCAGGTATTCAGAGGATGACGTAAACAGTACGTGCACGATTCGATCAGGTGTTCAGAAGATGACGTAAACAGCATGTGCACGATTCGAGCAGGTGTTTAGAGGACGACGTAAACAGCACGTGCACGATTCGAGCAGGTGTTTAGAGGACGACGTAAACAGCACGAGCACGAATCGATCAGGTGTTTAGAGGACGACGTAAACAGTACGTGCACGATTCGAGCAGGTGTTTAGAGGACGACGTAAACAGCACGTGCACGATTCGATCAGGTGTTCAGAGGATGACGTAAACAGCACGTGCACGATTCGAGCAGGTGTTAAGAGGACGACGTAAACAGCACGTGCACGATTCGATCAGGTGTTAAGAGGATGACGTAAACAGTACGTACACGATTCGATCAGGTGTTCAGAGGATGACGTAAACAGCACGTCCACGATTCTATCAGGTATTCAGAGGATGACGTAAACAGCACGTGCACGATTCGATCAGGTGTATAGAGGATGACGTAAACAGCACGTTCACGATTCGATCAGGTATTCAGAGGATGACGTAAACAGCACGTGCACGAATCGATCAGGTATTCAGAGGATGACGTAAACAGTACGTCTACGATTCGATAAGGTATTCAGAGGATGACGTAAACAGTACGTCTACGATTCGATCAGGTATTCAGAGCATAGTCATGGAAGTATGGTACAATGTGGATGTCAGTGATGTACCGTTGTTCATTCAGATTTTGTCCGATGGTCATAAGGTCAAGTTTACAGTAATGTGAGTGAGTGAGTTTAGTTTTACGCCGCATTCAGCAATATTCCAGCTATATGGCAGCGGTCTGTAAATAGTCGAGTCTGGATCAGACAATCCAGTGATCAACAGCATGAGCATCGATCTGCGCAATTGGGAACCGATGACATGTGTCAACAAAGTCAGCGAGCCTGACCACCCGATCCCGTTAGTCGCCTCTTATGACAAGCATGGGTTACTGAAGTTCAATATTCTAACCCGGACCTTCACGGGTATACAGTAATGTGAGATGAACCCTCAGCAACCAATGACCCCCGGCCTCCAACACCCTGTTCCCAACCCCAACCTTAAAGGGTCAAATTAATCATATAAACAAACATAAGTTAATTATGATATGAACATTAAAGGCCATATCGGGGTTAAAAATCAAAGGTGTTGCGAAACTTCTCTCGTTGTGTATAGCGTCAAATGTTGTGTCTAGCTTTGCTATGATTGCATGGTATGGAAGAATCAATGTGCACATTCTGTGCGCACCGGCAGTGATGTGCGACCTGGGATACACTGAAATTGTATTTAAATATTTTGTGGTACTCACCTTTTAATTCCTTGTAAACCATTAAGGTCCAAGCCAATCGGTTTCTCGTCATTACCAATGCGCCTAAAATACAAGAGTGAAGGAGTAAGTGAGTTTTGTCAGTGTTTCAGTTACATCACGTTCTGGTAGTTTCATGTGGGTAGAAATTCAGAAACCCCGAGATCATAGGAATCTTACTGAGTGAGTTAGTTTAGTTTTACGCTGCGTTCAGCAATATTCCAGCTATATGGCGGTGGTCTGTAAATAATCGAATCTGGACCATACAATCCAGTGATCAACAGCATGAGCATCGATTTACTCAACTGGGATACAATGACTTGTGTCAACCAAATTAGCAAGCATGACCACCCGATCCCGTCAGTCGCCTCTTACGACAAGCATGGGTTGCTGAAGATCAGTTCCAACCCCGATCTTCACGGGCATCATAGGTTCTGACCTCCACAGCGAACTGCCGTGTCCTAGACGGCTAGGGCATCTGTTTCTAGTTATGTCAATATTGTCATGAAAGTCCAGCACCCGTGAAGATCCGGGGTAGAATTGGTCTTCAGCAACCGATGCTAGTCGTAAGAGGCGACTATGCTTGTCGTAAGAGGCGACTAACGGGATAGGGTGGTCAGGCTCGCTGACTTGGTTGACACATGTCATCGTATCCCATTTGCGTAGAGCGATGCTCATGCTCATCACTGGATTGTCTGGTCCAGACTCGATTATTTACAGACCGCTGCCATATAGCTGGAATATTGCTGAGCGTGGCTTTAAACAACAAACAAACAAACAAACAAACAAACAAAACGGTTGTCTGTTTCCTTTTGAAAACCATTCACATATGCATTCCGACATATCTGCTAGCCGCTCATACCTCCCTGATCGATGCTCATGCTGTTGATCACTGGATGGTCTGGTCCAGATTCGATTGTTTACAGGCCGCCGCCATATAGCTGGAATATTGCTGAGTGCGGCGTAAAGCAACAGACCAACCAATCGTACCTCCTGATAGCCCGAACTGGTCTGCTGGACATATTCCCACAGACAAGACCAAGATAACAATATGGAACCAGAATCTCGCAACTCAGTTTGTTGTAAGTTAAACATGTAAATATTTCTTAAAAGTTGGTAAAAATACATGCGACAATATGGTTCTTGGTGAATGTGGCAGATTCCCTCTTCAACTTACTTATATGTCAAGGGCAGTTAAATATTGGTGTAGACTTTTAACTCTTCCAAGTTGTAGATTACCTCATCAGTTTTATTTAATGCTTAAGTCTTTGGATGAATCTGGACGGACAACATGGGCATCTCATATCAAGAATATTTTATTTAGATTTGGGTTTGGCTTTGTTTGGATTTCACAGGATATTGGAGATATTGATGGTTTCATTTCTGTTTTTAAACAAAGATTGTCTGATAATCTTTCACAAGATTGGTACTCATCCCTACATAGTACAACCAAGTGTTCTAATTATATACTTTTCAAGTCCCTCCTGAATGTTGAAACTTATCTCAGTTTATGTATTGCCCCATATTTAAGAAATTGTTTAACAAAATTTAGATGCGGTAAATTTAAACTTAGTTCTGAGACCGGTAGATATAACAATGTCCCTTATTATTCAAGATTCTGTCCTTTTTGCTGCAAAAATAATCTTAATTTAATTGAAGATGAAATACATGTTTTACTTTATTGTAAAGCCTACTTAGATATTAGGAATAAGTTTCTGGGTAAATATTTGAAGCATCCTATTTAACAAAACAGTTTTATAAACATAATGACTTCAACAAACATAAATGTTATAAATAATTTATGCCTATTTTTATATAATGTTGGGAAAATAGGAGATTCTGATGTTTTTATGTAAAACCAGGGATAATCTACAACGTTATATAGTCTCCCTGGTAAAACGCATGTAACTTCTTCTCATATTTATGAATGTATTTTGGGTCAGTGGACTATTACTGAATAAAATGTCTGTCTGTCTGTCTGTCTCTCTAAACAATAATGACATGAAATAAAATTCATGACTGTACAAGCAATTTGTCTAATGAAAAATATATAAGTGGAAACGTAAGCAGCATTATTTAAAAAATAATGACTTGTTTGTCATGTTAGCGTGAAACACACTGGTACACAGGGCTATGAAAGCAGGAAATAAATTAAAAATTGTTGGGACGTGAGTTCAAAGAATCACGAAGCCACGTCTATCTAGCGGAACGATGAGCAACGAAAATTTAATAGATCTAGAATAATTGAAGTGAGGTGAAATTGGCTTTAACGTCGTACTTAAGAATATTTCGCTCATATGACGACAAGCATGCGTGTGTATGTGTATGTGCGGCTGCTTGTACTATAGTTCGTTTGGCTCAAAATCGGACCGATGAATTTCAATCTAACCCGAAAACTAATAAACATATAATACTCAATGAAACACTGATTATAATCAAAACATCAGACCAACTCTGTGATTTGTTTGCAGAATTTATGTCCTAAAAATGAAAAAGTTGTTAATAAACTATCATTAAAATTTTGACAAAGTTCACTATTTGTTACGAGGGAAGACTGCAGAGGAAGGAACAGCCAGGTATACGCGGAGCATGTGCACAAGTGCCGATAAAGTTATGGAATCATTCATCTGTGCTGTGCTGTCTCCATCGACTGACTGACTGACTGAGTTTAGTTTTACGCCGCTTTTAGCAATATTCCAGCAATATCACGGCGGGGGACACCAGAAATGGGCTTAACATATTGTGCCCATGTGGGGAATCGAACCCGGGTCTTCGGCGTGACGAGCCAACGCTTTAACCACTAGGCTACCCCACCGCCCCCTGTCTCCATCGTTCCTTTCTCGCTCATCAGTATAGTTGCTAATGAAGGTGGTGTATCTTGATCTTCCAGTTACAGAGGAAGAAATAGGTCGCTGCATGTCACGTGTGCAGCATAAACTATTTTATTCAGCAAAATTTCTCGTTGCTTCAATTAATTTGAATTTTCAGGTGTTTGAAAGAAACTTGAAGTAACGAGAAAATACTTGAGATTTCAAATTTTTTTTAGAGACACTTGAAGTAACGAGAATATACTCGAAGCAACGAGAAATTACTTGGTAACATATGTTACATTTGGGATTACACTTTCTCCGTAAAGTACATTCTAGTACTGTTGTTGAGTTGATTCCCATCCGGAGAAATTACTCCCCGAAGCAACAAGAAAATACTCGAAATTAAAGAAACTTGTCATACTCGAAGCAACGAGACATTAATCAGGGTAAAAATGAAACACTTGAGACAAAAAAAAATTGAAATAAAGGGAAAATAATTGAAATAACGTGAAAATGATTGAAATAGTAGGAAAATACTCCCAATGACAGACACAATATTCGAAGCAACGAGAAAATACTTGAAATTTCAAGTTCTTGAAAGAAACCCGAAGTGACGAGAAAATACTTGAAAGAAACTCGAAGTAATGAAAAAATGCTCGAAGCAACGAAATTATAGGAAATAACCAGAAAATAATTGAAATAACGAAAAAATACTCCAAGCGTCAACAAAATAATCGAAGCAACGAGAAATTTCGCTGATACATTTTTTTGTGTGCAACAAAAGAGGCAGCAGCAGGCTTCCGTAGTTAATCTTCACAGGTTTGTTTTACGAAACTGAACTTTAAACGGAATCACTTCAAAAACTTCAATTTATTTTAAGACTTTCAAACCGCGACTTACAGGTGAGGTTGGTCGGTGAGCCAGGTATAGAGAAACTGTCTCTTATCTATTACGCCGATCTAAGTAATGATATTGGTGGGGTAACCTAGCTGTTAAACCCGAAGACTCGGGTTCCATTACCCACATGTGTATGTGTGAAGCCCATTTCTGGGATCCCCGCCGTGATAATGATGGAATATTGCTAAAAGCGGCGTAAAACCCAACTCACTCACTCACTCACTGATATTGGAGACGCGTCTCACTACTTTTTTGTTTGCGATTATTTTGTTGATATAAAAAAGAGATTACAGTCATTGTGCTGTCTAACGAGCTACATGTTCAATATGATACAATATATTTAAATGTAAAAATATCGCTATATTAAAGAAAAGTTCTGGAGTTTTTAGGTCAAATAATCAGTACGTTTGAGTAATCTGAGTCATAAACCGGTATAATGGGATGTAATAACAACTTCATTATGCGAGCGATGGGGTAGCCTAGTGGTGAAAGCGGTCGCCCATCAAGCTGAAGACGCGGTTCGATTCCACATATGGGTACAATGTGTGAAGCCCATTTCTGGTGTCCCCCGCCGTGATGTTGCTGGAATATTGCTAAAAGCGGCGTAAAACACAACTCACTCACTCACTTTATTATGCTGTGATATGTAGCCTCAACTGTATAAAGTTATGTTTTGTTCTGGTGCCCCAAGACAAATTACGTCAAACAGGGTCAGCAACATTGTATCAAATTGGAAGTAAATGAAAATCAAGGTCACTGAATTGTACATGACGTTTGATTACTAAGTCGAGAGTTGAACGATAAGATAATAGAACGATTGTTAAACAAAAGCAAGCGTTTTCTGCATTCCTTACATACATTTAAGATACGAAAAAATATTACTGCTACTGCAATATAATGATATTGATGATACTACTGTTACGACTGCTGTTGCTGTAAATACTACTACGACTACTGCTGCTACTACTACTACTACTACTAACTGTTACTACTACTTCTACTGCGGCTACTACTACTACTACATCTGCTACAATTCTTACTACTACAACTACTACATCTGCTACAATTCCTACTACTACTACTACTACTACTACATCTGCTACAATTCCTACTACTACTACTACATCTGCTACAATTACTACTACTATTACTACTACCACAACTACTATTACTACTACTACTACTACTACCACTACTCGACCGCCTCCGTGGTGTAGTGGTTAGAGCGTCCGCCCGGAAAGCGGAAGGTCGCGGGTTCGATCCCCAACCGCGTCATACCAAAAGACGTTAAAATATGGTACTTGTTGGTCCCTGCCTGGCGCTCGGCATTGATGGGTACAACAAGGACTGGTCGGCTCGGAGTCAGTACGATGTGTCTGAGTGGGGTATTCATGCTTCACTGCGGCATGGTATCTCAGTGGGCTAGCACTATAAAACCAGCTTAAGTCTGGGCTAGTACAAGCAGCCGCACATACACATACACACGCATGAACGTCGTCATATGAGCGAAATATTCTCAAGCACGACGTTAAACCCAATTTCAGTTCCGCTACCACTACCACCACCACCACTATTACCACCATTACTAAATCTTTTACAATGACCACCTCTCCTTTACTCTACAGCCACCCCTGCTAGTCGTAAGAGGCAACTAATATATAAAGGTATCGGGCGGCCAGGCTCACTTACTCGATCGATGCATGTGTCCCAGATGTTCATGATGTCGCCCCTGGATTCAGTCATCCAGGTCCGATCATTCAGTGACCACAGTCACATGCTGCGTGGACCACGACTGGGACCACCACAACTACTGCTACTACTACTGCTGCTACTACTACTACGACTACTGCTACTACTACCACTGCTATTAAGACTGCTACTACCACAACTACTACTACAACTGCTACTACTACCACTGCTACTAAGACTACGACTACTACTGCTACTACCACTGCTACCACTACAACTACTACTACTACTACTACCACTGCTACTACCACAACTACTACTACTACTACTACTACGACTACGACTGCTACTACCACTGCTACTACTACGACTACTCCCACTACTAAGACTACTGCTACTACTACTACAACTGCTAAGATTACTACTACGACGGCTACTGCTACCATTGCTACTACTACGACGACTACTGCTACTACTACTACTACTACGACTACGACTACTGCTGCTACCACTAGTGCTACCACTACTACTACCACTACCACTACTACTACCACTACAACTATTACCACTACAACTACTACCACCATTACTACGACTACTGCTACAAATGATAACAAATAAGTGTAAGGAAACGTTACTGATCCCAAATACCTCTGCCCTATAACATGTTTGAATACGCACAAATAACTTCACATAGTGTTTGAAAAACCTCGTGTCATCGTCCTGCCCCTCCAACGCCATAATATAGAGCAGAGCGGAGCAAGGAAAGGATACTGAGAGTGTAAGGATCAACTTCTTGCACAACAAAGGATTTCGGAAGAGGCTAAAACATACCACCGTAACCTCTCCTTTTCTATTGTCGGTATTATTTGAACGTACTTGTTGCAACACAACGTAATAGAAAGTTTCGTGTAGAGCAGGTTGAGCATACATATGGGCAGGTAACGCCTCCTTTGTATGAGCGTTTTACCCCATATTATAGTCTGCCAGTGTAAACACAAAACGTTGCAACCACCCTTCTTACATATTAGCCCTCACTCTATGAGTGAGTGACAGGGTGAGTGAGTGGGTTTGGTTTTACGCTGCTTTTAGCAATATTCCAGCAATATCACGGCGGGGGACACCAGAAATGGCCATCATATTGTACCCACTCACTCACTCACTCTATGAAGGTACATGGGAGGTGGGGTAGCCTAGTGGTTAAAGCGTTCGCTCGTCACGCTGAAAGCCCGGGTTCGCTTCCCCACATGGGTACCATGGGTACCATTTCTGGTGTCCCCCGCCGTGATATTGCTGGAATATTGTTAAAAGCGGCGTAAAACTATAATCACTCACTCACTCACTTGAAGGTTAATTCAGACTAAATGAACTCACACAAAGTGAAATTCAATACTGAAGTTTTATCTTTAAACATCGACGTTTTCCATCCATTGAAAAAACTATATCTTATATACAGATAATAAGCCTCGTTATACATGCAATCCAAGTTACAACAATTGATGTTACAATAAAATTTAAATTTACATAAAATCTTTTAACCATGCAACAGCTGACTTAATGGCAGCACAGTTTAACATTCTGAGTGAGTTATGTTTTACGCCGCTTTTAGCAATATTTCAGCAATATGACGGAGGGGGACACCGGAAATGGGCTTCACACATTGTACCCATGTGGGGAATCGAACCCGGGTCTTCGGCGTGACGAGCGAACGCTTTAACCACTAGGCGACACCACCACCGTTAACACTATGATACAAAATCGCTAACGGTCATAATAATCAAACATGATAAAATCGAACGACAGGAATAGTTTCTATTAACCTTCTGTTAGTATCCAGGCATGTTTGTTGACAAGAATATTCTCTCACTTTCTGGTGAACAATAGATCTCGTTGGTGTTGTAATTGTGCTGTGATAACAAGTGCAGCGTCTTGACCTCATGGCAACTCAATCTGTTTTGTATTGAAATGGGGGCATTGCTGTGTATAATGGACGCAGATTATTTGTTGCGTGAACCTGGGACAATGCTGTTAGAAGGGTATCCTCCCATTACCCCTACATCCCATTACCCCTACAGCTTATAACAACAAAGTTCACGATCCAATGCACTGCTAATCCCCTTCCTGTTACCTGTTACCTGGACAATGGACTAGCCCAATCACATGAACACAAGACTTAATGTTTTAATTTATGGATTTAATTAAACAAATAAATGAATATAATACACAGATATCATCCTGGTCGTGACATGAATATGAGCAGCAGGTCATGTTAACTTTTTTACTTTAATTTTTGTCTTTTAAACAAGTTTCTATCCCAATTTGAGGAGATGGCCCACAGCGTCAAGGAACTGCATTGGTGTTTTCAGCCCAAGATTGAGCTGCTCCTTGAGGCGACACAAACGATGCTCCATCTCCCTGTACACTCTCTTTCTGATTCTCTGTGCTGCTCCAAAGTCTATCTGGGAAATGTTCGCTCTCTCAGCGTGTTCAAGTTTCCTGATCACCTCCACAAATCGGTAGATGTTGGGGTGTCGATGTTGGAGTCCCCGGTTCAGGTGGTTGTGGAATCCCTCTAGGTTGTTGTTTGTCCTTGGACCTGTTGTTGAGTGATGGTTCCACAGTGGCAGGCGGAATCTTGCGTCGTCATAGACCCAGGTAGTCACCATGTAATCGTTGAAAGTGCCGCTCTTGGTACATCGGGAGCGTCGTCCATGGCGTCAACCCACGTGTCCTGGATACTGTTCTGGGGTAAAAGGGGTATCCAGCCGCTCTTCTTACCCATCTGGATATTTCCAGATCCTCTCTGTAAGCAACAGCAAGTCCCAGATCCTGGACCTTCCTCCAAATGGCCTGACAGTAGTGGAAGAAGCAACCCTTCACTTCAGCAGTCGGAAACTCTCTCTCTATAGCATGAATTGCCGCCAGCTCAAAGTCTGTCTGGACACAGGATGGGGCAAGCGGCCGGTTAAGTCTCTGCTGAACTTCATTCTTGATGAGTCTGAAGAGTCTGGAGTAGGTCTCAGTCTGACGGTCGGGGAGTAAGGTGAAGGTGAGGGGATAGGTTGTGGTTCCACGTCTTGCATGTAGGATGTACACTTGATTCGACAGACCAGGGCAGGCAGTAAAGGTTCCATCCATATAGACATTCTTAGTGTGTAGATAACCCTCAAATAGGACCTGGGTGCTACCTCTCCGTGACATAACAAAGTCAACATTGCGAAGACCAGCCATGTTGATGTCATGTTAGTTTGTTTCCAACATTTATATACTATACTAAGTCATCTCAAATTACTTGTCTCATCTCAGTGTCAATTTCAACATTTACTTCATTTCATCTTAACAAACTTTCTCTAACCAAGGACACCTTAATCCTTTCTAATTTGTATACACAACACTTTACAATACTAAGTCATCTCAAATTACTTGTCTCATCTCAGTGTCAATTTCAACATTTACTTCATTTCATCTTAACAAACTTTCTCTAACCAAGGACACCTTAATCCTTTCTAATTTGTATACACAACACTTTACAATACTAAGTCATCTCAAATTACTTGTCTCATCCCAGTGTCAATTTCAACATTTACTTCATTTCATCTTAACAAACTTTCTCTAACCAAGAACACCTTATTCCTTTGTAGGTTGTATACACAACACTTTAATCGCTCCCATGGGTAAGTTCATTATGCCAGACAGGTAAATGCCGTGTGTTGTTTTAACTAATTGTAGGGGTACTGGGAAGTAGGGGTAATGGGATGTAGGGGTAATGGGATACAACCGTTAGAAGGGACACCCCCTCCCCCTTATCTTTCTTAAGCACTCCCACCCCCGTTAACTTTCTTAAACATCAAATGCTTTTGACCACATCATGTGACATGTGTCAGCCATGTCACGCAGATGATTTTTAAATTAAATTTTAAATAGACACACGCTCAAAGACACACAGACACACACTCCGCTGCCAGTGCTCAGAGAGGCGCCGGAGAGGGAGGGGGAGAGGGGGGGGGGGTTCATCAGGCTGAGTTACACGGATGGAATACAGACAAAACTGTGTCAACTTCCGTGTGGCGTTTAACAACAGGCCTTGCCACAGATTTGCTGTTTTTAGACTAAGTTTCAAAAAGTGTTCATTCAGTCATTGATATTCCTTCATCTGTTCCAAACCTTCATAACACACGTGTGACCTCCCCAACTCACAGAGCCTCCCCGGAGCCTCTATCGTACACAAGCCATAAACATAGGCGAGTCACGAAGCTGTCACTAAAAATGATTCAACTTTACCTGCGAGTCTGAAGCTTGAGGGTACTCAGCGCAGCACCCTGTCTGAACCCTCCCTGCAAAACTGACCACAGAAGTCCGTTGATGATTGCTAATGTTGTCAGTAACAGCATAAAACGTTTACAGCTTGGCCTGTACATCGCTGCGAGGCCTGTATATCACCACGACAGCGACACACTTGAATGCGGTGTGCAGTGCAAGCTGACGGGGACACTCAACACAGCGTAAATCTCACACTTGACGTCACGGCATGCGCTAGGATATTGTAAGCTATTGCGGGAAGTGGGATTGAAATATGCTATTTTCCCCGATATGTTTGTATAGGAACTGTTGGACAATATTGACTATAACAGAGGCTAAATAAAGATTTTTCAGCTTGACAAATATTGAATTTATAAGTTAATGCGTGCATGTATTTTCGAAGGGGTAGAACGGGTGTTCATTTTGAATTCTGAAGCTACATGTGTTTTTTGTTGGAAATGAATCGTCAACAGATTTATATGTGTCCACATCCATGAATTTCTATATAATACACGTGCATCGAGTGTTTGCTTCAATACTACCTCGTAAGGATGGGAAAGTCACATTAACTCGGTGCGCCTTGTGGCAGCAAGAGTTGTATGATCCCCAGGCAGTTGACATTGATAATAAGATGTGCAGTTGAGATTGACATCCAATTACTGAGGGAAAAATATCAGCGCCCTGAGCATGCACTAGTGCGTGGATATGTGCGCATATAAATATCCAATAATAATAAATGATAATATTCGGTTTTAATAATATGTTGTGTCGATGCCCCCGTATGTCGATACACATGTGGGATGATTACTTCAATAAACAGATTTGTTTATGTCGACGTCATTACCCAAACATTACATACACTAAACGCCAAAAGAAATGTTACCCTCCTTCCTTAATGACGGAGGTACCTATCTTCAACTGGCGTTATGATGCGTGGACGCCCACTTCTTGGTCTGTCTACGGTGACCCCAGTCTGTATGTAGCGCTCAATAGGTCTTATAACCGTGATACGGTGGCACGCGGGGGCGTTGGCAACAGCATTGTATGTCGACCCCATCTGCACCATCCCAGTGGCTCTTTCTCTCTCTTCAGCTGTTAATCGTGGCATATTTCTCGTACTTGTGTATCATATCATGCATTCTAGGCTCTCTTTATACCCTATAGAATCATTCTACATGTGAAATAGATGCAAATACTGCTTGCATATTGCTGCGTTTTGGCGATTGATATTACTATGTGTACACAGAAAATGGAAAAATGTTACTTTGCAAGCAAAAACGTTCCCAAATATAATTTTAGATGTTCCTAAACACTTTTTCACAATATCAAAGACACGTTTTACATGTTTTCACTAATGCAAATCAGCAGAATATATTTTAAAAGCCTGAAATCATAGGAATGATTATTTTACAATTTTACACACTCTACAAAGTTGTTTCTTGTTTTAATAGTTGAAAAACGGTGACTTTAAATGGTTTATCTTTGTTTTAATGCAGAATTTTATTTCAACCTTTACTTTGGACATCTAAATGACTGTTATTGGTTTATTTCGGCATGGTCGAAAATAGGACAATTTAATTCTTCTGAAAACGATGCATTTCACCTAAATATGAATGCATTTGAGAACTAGTTTTCGTGATTTGCATAAAGCTGTGTTGTTAAGCTTTCTTGTGAACTAATACCTTCTAACATAGTTTTTCAGTAATTCATAAAGGTAGGAGGGTAACGTTTCTTTTGGCGTCTGTTTATAAATAGTTAATAACAGTTAACGGACAGGTGTGTGTGTCAAAATCTGAGTGTATCGATATAATTATTGCACTTACCTTGGTTAATATCAGCCTTCAAGAAACGAGACCCGTGAAGGTTCGGGTTAGAATATTGATCTTAGGTAACCTATGCTTGTCGTAAGAGGCGACTAAAGGGATCGGGTGGTCAGGCTCGCTGGGTTCCCAACTGCGTAGATCGATGCTCATGCTGTTGATCACTGGATTGTCTGGTCCAGACTCGATTATTTACAGACTGCCACCATATAGCTTTAATATTGCTGAGTGCAGCGTAAAACTAAACTCACTCACTCAAGAAACGACAGCGGACAGTCATGATTTTCCGGTAGCTTCAACCACTCACAAACTGGATAGTCGAATAAGTGAGTGGGTATGGTTTAACGCCTTTTTCAGCAATATTCCAGCAACATCACGGCGGGCTTCACACATTGTACCCATGTGGGAAATCGACCCCGGGTCTTCGGCGTGACGGGGGAACACTTTAACCACCAGGCTACTCCACCGACCGGCAAGTCGACTAACTGTTTGTTTGTTGGCAATGTCATATAAACAACCCAAGTGAGTGAGTGAGTGAGTGAGTGAGTTCAGTTTTACGCCGCTTTTAACAATATTCCAGCTATATCACGACGGGGGACACCAGAAATGGGCTTCAACCATTGTACCCATGTGGGGAATCGAACCCGGGTCTTCGGCGTGACGAGCGAACACTTTAACCACCAGGCTACCCCACCGACCGGCAAGTCGACTAACTGTTTGTTTGTTTGCAATGTCATATAAACAATCTAAGTATGTTCATATGCAGATACGTGTGTAGCAAGCGATTCTGTACGTTGAAGCTTTACACTGACGGCAATGTTCACTTTGTATGGAACTGTAGCACCGATCTGTCCACCCCACTGACGCCTTCGGACCCGTGAAGGTCCGGGTTAGAATGTACCTTCAGTAACCCATGCTTGTCGTAAGAGGCGACTAACGGGATCGGGTGGTCAGGCTCGCTGGCTTGGTTGACACATGTCATCGGTTCCCAATTGAGCAGATCGATGCTCATGTTGTTGATCACTGGATTGTGTGGTCCAGACTCGATTATTTACAGACCGCCGCCATATGGCTGGAATATTGCTGAGTGCGGCGTAAAACTAAACTCACTCACTCACTGACGCCTTCGGTGAGTTCGACGTACAATCATGAATGACTTCTGTCTTCCAAGTTTACGGGGAAACTGGAAGTGAAAGAATGACAATATCTTGCAATAATATATCGTAGATATTTGAATCTTCGTTAACAATATTGTGTGAGTGTGCGTGCGCGCGTTTGTACATATGCCGATGTATGTGTATGTCTGTCTGTCTGTGTGTATAAACTTACAAACCACTTTTTAAATGCATTTGCATCGATGCAGCATCAAAAGTAAATTAAAATGTATGTATGTATGTATGTATGTATGTATGTATGTATGTATGTATGTATGTATGTATGTATGTATGTATGTATGTATGTATGTATGTATGTATGTATGTATGTATGTATGTATGTATGTATGTATGTATGTATGTATGTATGTATGTATGTATGTATGTATGTATGTATGATGTATGTATGTATGTATGTATGTATGTATGTATGTATGTATGTATGTATGTATGTATGTATGTATGTATGTATGTATGTATGTATGTATGTATGTATGTATGTATGTATGTATATGTATGTATGTATGTATGTATGTATGTATGTATGTATGTATGTATGTATGTATGTATGTATATGTGTATGTATGTATGTATGTATGTATGTATGTATGTATGTATGTATGTATGTATGTATGTATGTATGTATGTATGTATGTATGTATGTATGTATGTATGTATGTATGTATGTATGTATGTATGTATGTATGTATGTATGTATGTATGTATGTATGTATGTATGTATGTATGTATGTATGTATGTATATGAACAATTTTACTGCATTTACAATCATTATTGTTTGATTATGTTACACATGAATAACTGTAGAGGCTTGTAAAGGATATGTCGTATCCCAATCGCGTAGATCGATGCTCATGCTGTTGATCCCTGGATTGTCTGGTCCAGACTCGATTATTTACAGACTGCCGCCATATAGATGGAATATTGTGCGGCGTAAAACTTAACTCACTTACTCCTTGCAATTGCGTAACATGTCAACACTCATGATGAAAATAAAGCATTCTACAGTTATCTAAAGCATTCCAAGGATATTGGACACAATCTCAATCTTACCTTATTGATGGTTTAATATTCACTGACAGCAGAGACCATGTAATAGACCCTGTATTATTTGGTCTCTGCTGACAGAATAAAAATGAGTGTCGACCAAGCGAATACTATACTCTACTACAAATGTATAAAAAAGTAGAAGAACCCGAACTTTCAATTTGGATAGGAAGTATAAGCGTTAGCAAACCTTTCAAAGACAGACATGTTATGAACGCACCAACATTTCTCTTTATCACTACCCCTAAACACAACGCAAAGAATGCACGTGCACAACGCAGTAGCCCCATACACGTGCATGGGGTGTTATTCCTGATTTTGAAGAATGTCGATAAATCACAGTTTTGCATCAAACACTTGTAAGTGTTTGTTTCTAGTCGTATTTGTTAGAAAATGAAAATCGTACACATGCAAATTTCACGTCATACACCAATCATCTTTCAAGAGCGACTACTGTACAAACAACTATGGTCATAAGGAAGTGCAAAGGTGATGTACTCTCAAAACATTCATTATTATCATATCAGCATTGGGTGACTCCGATATATCGCCCATTTTTTTCAATCGTAAATTAAAAATGAAGTTCCCCTATTCTTTTAAGAGTATATATAAAATCGGCAGGGTCCCAGTTATCTCAGGCGACACGGTGGTGTGGTTCGATCGTTCCAGTTATTGCCATTTTCGACATGCTTCAGGTTTTCACTCAGAGGTCCATCCATGGTACGACAAAGAATATGTAGCGGCCGTCATGGATAATGACATAACACTTTGGAATAAATACAGCCCCGTATCCCAGCCAACAAACCCTACCTTGTAGCAATACCTTTTAGCAATATTCCAGCAATATCACGGCAGGGGACACCAGAAATGGGCTTCACACATAGTACCCATGTGGGGAATCGAACCCGGGCCTTCAGCGTAACGAGCTAACGCTTTAACCACTAGGCTACCCCACCGGCCCCTCTGCTGCCTGGAAGAAGTCCCCCTCGCTGTCTGGGCGGTGTTGCGGGGGGCAAGCCCTGAGCTTAACCAGCCGATCAGTCTGTCAGGATCATCCGAACCTTCTCTGATGCATTTATTTCCTTAAATCTGTAAATACTGATAAATAATCATATTGCACCTAATCCGTACCCTGGAATGTCCC